CTGCCGGGTGTGGCCAGAAATATTGAAAAAATAAATTCTCTGAGGCACCTGCAAATCTAAGCCCATTCTGTGTCTCATCACACTCACCACCAGCCCTCATGGTTCTAGAGTTCCCCGCGAGCATCCTCCTTCACCATCCATCATCCATCATCTCTGCTGAGGACCCGCTTCTCGGTTGCTGCTTTGATGAGGGACAAAACTCAGTCCCCTTTCTTTCGGTTTCGGTTTTGTTTTGAGGCCCCAGCTGACCACTCTCAGGGCTGACTCCCGGCTCTGTGCTCAGGGGTCACTCACTCCTGGTACAACTCAGGGGGGTTGTACATGAGACCAGGGATCAAGCCCAAGTCAGTGGAGTACAAGGCGAGTGACCTCCCCACTGAACCATGGGACTTGGGCCCTCAATCCCTTCTAAGAGTCCCAGGAAAGCCACAGACCATTGGCAAGTTTGATGATATGTCTCTGGACTATGGGACACCTTCCCGGGTGGAAATAATGATGATATTCATGTTTTTTTGTGCTATTTTTATATTTTATTTTCACAAAAGTAGTTCACAACAGTTCATTACAGATAATATTCAAACACCAATCCCACCACCGAGCACCTTCTCACCACCGTAAGTGGGGAGTATGTGAAGATTGTTGTATTTCATCCTGGGGCCATCGAAAGCCCGTCGATAAGAGAATACAAACAAGCATGTTACAACCAAACAAACGTGTGCTGCTTTTGACACATAAGTGGGTTCGAGTAGAAGCAGCCACACGCTCAAGGAGATTCTGTGCCGCTCTCTTCTGGGAACTTTAGTTTATAGTCTCGGGGTCTTGGCCATTGATGAGATTAGATGGAGCCGGGAGCAGTTTGTGGGTGACTGCCAAACTACTGGAAAATTGGGGAACTGCGGGGGGAGGATGCCCAGTCGTGATCCAGTGGGCTTGGAGATCTTAGTCATGGGTTCCCGCATACCTGTTTTTTTGTTTGTTTGTTTTTTGCTGATCCGCTCTTAGGTGAGGTTCATCCTAAATTTTGGGTGAGGTTCATCCCATCTTGGGTGAGGTTCATCCCATCTTGGGTGAGGTTCATCCCATCTTGGGTGAGGTTCATCCCATCTTGGGTGAAGCTCATCCTAGCGTATGGAGAGCGGCCTTGCGCATGGTGGCGGTTGGGTTCTGGAGATTTTCGGCTGCCGCGGGTTCTGTTTGCAACAGGGTGGGAAACTCAACCCACCCTGCTCCGAGGTGCCCCAGTGAAGACAGCTTGGCGCAGGGTCAGGAAATTCTGAGTCACTCTCTTCTGGGAGCTTTAGCTCATAGTCTCTGGGTCTTGACCATTGATGAAGTTACATGGCGCCGGGGACGGTTTGTGGGTGTGACTGCCAAGCTACTGCAAAACTGGGGAGCTGGGGGTTGGAGGCCCAGTCCTGGTCCGAGCAGGCTTGGAGGTCTCAGGATGCCATTCTTCTAATGAAATAGTAATGAAAGTGGCTGTGTTTTCCTGTCTCCTCCTTGCTGGACTTTCCTCCCCTCTGTTCAGTCCTGCATCTCCTAGTCTCTCTGAGAATGGCAGAATCCTGGGGTATGGGCGGGGCTACCTGGCACTCACCCCTATGTGCTGCTCTGTGTGACTCAGCTAACCTTCCTGAACTCTCTTCACCTCGTGTCGGATCACTAGTGACGAGGCAGATGGACAGTAGAGTCCATTGTCCGGTGTCTTGGCTACCTGTCTTCCCCTTCCTTTTCCACCCAATGGGTTGTTCGACCAACTTCCAAGGCACCCAGTCTCTGACGGAGGGAGCCATTGCTGATAAGCTCAAACATTTGAGGAGCATCAAACCATGACACTTTCTCCAGCTGAATGTCATGTGATGTTTTGTTCTTAAAATCCTGGTCCAGGGGCTAGAGCGATAGCACAGCAGGGAGGGCATTTGCCTTGCTTGCACACGGCCGGCCCAGGTTCAATTCCCAGCATCCCATAGGGTCCCCCAAGCACCGCCAGGAGTGATTCCTGAGTGCATGAGCCAGGAGTAAGCCCTGAGCATCGCCGGGTGGGACCCAAATAAAAATAAATAAAAAATAACCTGGTCCAGCCCTGATTGTAACTATTTCAAGAGAATGATTAAAAATGAGAAATGGGGCTGGAGCGATAGCACAGCGGGGAGGGCGTTTGCCTTGCACACGGCAGACCTGGATTCGATTCCCAGCATCCGATATGGTCCCCTGAGCACCCCCAGGAGTAATTCCTGAGTGCAGAGCCAGGAGTAACCCCTGAGCATCGCTGGATGTGGCCCAAAAAGAGAAAAAAAAAAGAGAAATGCCTCCTTTGAGTATCAGGGAAGGGGAGCATTTTAAACTAAATTAGATTAAATGATTTCTTGTTATTATCCATCGGAACCATCATTTTGGCTTATTCTAGCGGTCTTTGTTCTCCTTACCCTGATTCATCCAGAACAGGAGGCAGCTTTGCATAAAAAAAAATGGGCTCACTCCAAAGTCTCTTTGTTTATAAACATTCCTGCTATTTACAGAAGACTAGAGAATCAGGGAAATAAGATTTGCTTCTTAGTCTTGTCCAGAGACGAGCCACCAGTCATCATTCGTTCCACAGACTTTATGAGTGAGAGATTTCAAGGGTGAAAATCGATTTGCTTTACCGTAATTTCATACAGATTAAAAGTGGCTCCCGAGTAATTAACTTGGACTCGTTTGTAATGTATTATTATTGCACAGTGTGGGATGTGGCATTGTCTGACATCGGGGTAATCCTGGATGCGCTCACTGCGATGGGAAGCACCATTCATTCCAGACAGACTCCTCTCAGGGCTGGAGCAATACCACAGCGAGGAGGGCGTTTGCCTTGCACGCAGTTGACCCAGGTTCAATCCCCAGCATCCCATAGGGTTCCCCAAGCACCGCCAGGAGTGATTCCTGATTGCATGAGCCAGGAGAAACCCCTGAGCATCGTGGATGAGACCCAAAAAAGCAAAACAAACAAACCAAAAGACTCTCCCAAAGGCTTGTGCCCACAATACTTGGTTGACAGTTGCCACTGGCCCTGGTCGCCATGAAGCTGATTCATCTCAGGGGCCTTTCTGAAGTTGTAACTCCAGATTTCAGTGAATAAATTGAATGCCTCATTTCCCCAGGAGGGGCATCCCGCCTCCCCAGGGGTGCAGGACCAATCAGGAGGCTGCACCTTGTTCACGGAAAGAAGGTAGATTCAGGGTGATGTTATTTTCTGAAAAGGGAGTTTTGGATCAGCTAGGTCTGGGCCCATGGAACATCTGTCTCTCAACTTGTGCAATCTATAGGCAGCTCCAGCAAGCAAATGGCATCCAGAGCCTTGAAAATGAGACTGAATGGGGCTGGAGCGATAGCACAGTGGGGAGGGTGTTTGCCTGGCATGCCACTGACCTGGCATTCCAGAGGGTCCCCCGAGCACTGCCAGGAGTGATCTCTGAGTGCAGAGCCAGGAGGCAGTCCTGAGCATTGCTGAACCCAAAAAGGAAAAAAAAAGACTGAATAAGATTTCACAGACCCCCCTCCCCCCATCGGAGACCCCGATCTGAAATGGGATCTTCCTTAGAAACAAGGCAGGAAGTGGCCGTCCTGAGCTCCCTGGGCTGAGGTACATGGTCCTTAGTGACTGCAAATGAGTTCAGGAAGTAGCAGTTTGTCTCAACCGTGGTTTGCCAACTCAGACTAATCACACCAGATTCCAGGTTCTTCTTTCTACCTTCTTTCTACCTGTTTATCCTCCCATCCATCCACTGTGTATCCACCCATCCATCCATCTCTCCATCCTACTGTTTATCTGCACACCCATCCATCTATCATCTGTCTCTTCATCTTCCATCCATCCATTCATCCATCCTACTATTTACACATCCATCCATACTTCTGTCATCCATCCATCCATCCATCCATCCATCATCTGTTCATGCAACTGTCCTACCATTTATCTATCTAGACATCTGTGCATCCATCTACTCATTCATCCTACCATTTATCTACACATCTCTCCATCTATCCCATGCATCCATCATCCTATATATCTGTCCTTTCTTCCATCTATCCATCCACCCACCCACCCATTCATCCACCCACCCACCCACCCATTCATCCATCCATCCACCCACCCACCCATCCATCCATTCACCCACCCACCCACCCACTCATCCATCCACCCACTCACCCACCCATCCATCCGTCCGTCCACCCACCCACCCGTCCGTCTGTCCATCCATCCATCCATCCTTCCATCCATCCATCCATCCATCCATCCATCCATCCACCCACCCATCCATCTATCCACCAACACATCCATCCACCATCCATTCACCCATCCACCCATCCATCCATCCATCCATCCACCCACCCACCCATCCATCTATCCAACACGTCCGTCCATCCATCCATCCATCCATCCATCCATCCATCCATCCATCCTATATATCTGTCTTTTCATCCATTCTCTATATCTGCCCGCCCATTCATCCACCCATCCACCCATCCATCCACCCACCCACCCATCCATCCATCCATCCATCCACCCACCCATCCATCTATCCACCAACACATCCATCCACCATCCATTCACCCATCCACCCATCCATCCATCCATCCATCCATCCACCCACCCACCCATCCATCTATCCAACACGTCCGTCCGTCCATCCATCCATCCATCCATCCATCCATCCATCCACATCCACTTACTAATCATTATCACCACCATCTTTCTCACCTCTGACCACTTTCCTGTTACCGCTGTGATATGTAAGTCACCATGTTCTAGAGCCTTGAGCCTGCACTTTCCAGCAGCCCTTGGGACAGAGGCTCTAGACAGGACCTTGAGGACCTCCATCGAGCCCCATGGACCAGTGTGGAGCTCAGAGCATGGCAGTTATACCCAGCTCCGCCCTGATTTCCTGTCCCGAGCACATGGCCTGTGTGGTGTGTCGGGGTCATGGTGGTGACTCTTGTCCTCTGCCTTTGTCCCGTTTCAGACGTCCAGCAGTGGAAGGCATTCCATCCGCATCACTGGTCTCAGTACCATTGATTTCCGAGCAGGCTTTTCCCGGAGACCGACCCTGGATTTCAAGAAAACCATCAGCCGGCCAGTCCAAGGTAGGTGGCCCCTGACCCCAGATCTGCGTAGGAGTGACTCACGTGCAAATAGGCATTCACACGGGGACTCTGGCACTTGGTGATCGTTGGTGAAGTTTGGAAAAAAATCAGCATGTTTGTTTTTTACGGCATTGCCCTGGTTCTCCAAGAACTGCCCCAAACCGGGATATTAAAATTGCTCTGGAACTTAGCTGCTTGTCCAGACTCAGGATTCCTGGGTTCTGTCTACGAGCTCCTGAGTCAGAATCACATCAGGACGTCTGAGCCCCCATGAATTCTGAAGCTACTTGGAAAACTATCACTTAGATCATGAGCCTTCTTTTTGGGTCACACCCAGCAGTGCTTAGGGGTTACTCCTAGTTCTGCACTCAGGAATTACTGCTTGCGGTGTTTGGAGGCCATGTGGGATTCTAGGATTGAGGATCCAACCTGGGTTGGCTGCGTTCAAGGCCAAGGCAAATGCCCTCCCCCCGTCCTATTGCTCTGGCCCCTTGAGTGTTTTTCTTACTTTTACAAATCACTCTGTGGTCAAGGGAAAAATGGAGAGAGAGAGAAAGAGAGAGAGAGAGTCTAAGAACTAAAAAGATCATATTTCATCGTACATCTGAAGATAAAATCATTTCTGCTTCATAAATCTTGACCTGCCTCTTGCTTTATTCCTACCTTAAGATTTATAGATTTTTTACAGAACAGAAAAGCCACAAAAATCTTCGCTCCTTGGCTGACTCTGAATTTGATGGCTCTTTGCTTTTATTGTTGCAATTTCTAGAAATTTAAAGATAGCGGATCTTTAAAAAGTGACCCAACTTCATAGAACATAGTATTTACTATTAGAATAGTTCTACACTTGCACAGAGTTCAGATACCACTAAAAAATAAAAATCGTTACTTAGGATTGCCTTGTCTTTTTTTCTGATGATAAACAAAGTCTTCTTTTTTTGGGGGGGGTCACACCCGGCGATGCTCAGGGCTGACTCCTGGCTCTGCACTCAGGAGTCACTCCTGGTGGTGCTCAGGGGACTCTATGGGATACCGGGGATCCAACCCGGGTTGGCTGCATGCAAGGCCAACGCCCTCCCCGCTGTGCAATTGCTTCAGACCCAATAAACAAAACTCTTCGGTAGAAAAGATTCTGTCACGGGCTCACAAGTTGTTGGCACTGGCGTTTACGGCAATTGTCGGGGTCGGGGGTGAGAATGAAAATCGGTTTTGGATGTGTCAACTTCGGTTGCTTTGAGTGACGGGTGATTTTTCTCTTTTAGGAATTCCGACCTACGTCCTGCTGAATACTTCCGGGATTTCGGTCCCAGCTCGTGTACATCATCTAGAACTCCTGAGTATCTCGGGCACTTCCCTGAAGAGCATCCCTGTCAAATATTACCCGGAGAGGAAGCCGTACGGCATCTGGAATATTTCCGACTTCATCCCGCCCACGGAAGCCTTCTTTCTCAAGGTCATGGGCTATGACAAGGACAATTATCTCTTCCAGAGAGTATCCAGCGTCTCTTTCTCGAGTATTGTCCCAGGTGAGACAGCTTTTTCGGGGTACAGGGAGTTTGGGGGCTGGAGGAGGAGTGATATCCGAGAGGCGAAGACTAAGTGAACTGGCTTTGAATGCTACCGATGGAGAAATCAGAGATTTTGGAATAGTGTCCCAGGTGAGATATCTTTTTCGGGTTTGGAGGGTTTAGCAGAGTGATGTGGTTCAATTGGCACAGAACCATCTAGAAAGTCAGATGTGGGGCTGGAGCGATAGCACAGTGGGTAAGGCATTTGCTTTGCACGTGGCTGACCTGGGTTCGATTCCCAGCATCCCATAGGGTCCCCTGAGCACCTCCAGGGGTGATTCCTGAGTGCAGAGCCAGGAGTCAGCCCTGAGCATCGCCGGGTGGGACCCAAAAAGTGAAAAAAAAAAGAAAAAGAAAGTCAAAGGTGATTGCCCCCATGGCGGTCTGGTTCCCAAGTAGACAGGCTAGGACAGAGATTCTCTCAACTATAAAACGGCTCACACGGAGATTAAGGCTGATAAGTCCCTCTGACCCGAGCACGCTCATTTTCCATCAGTGGGTGAATGTGGATGAATTTTCTGTCATCTTAATGCACTCCAAGAAAGCTTGCCCTCGTGTTCAGAGTTGGGGTGCGTGATGTCTCCTGTCTGGTGTTTTTAGGGGCTCTTAGGAGATGCCAGCTTTGTGAATAGTGGTTTGTGATAAACCACTTGGGTTTGTTCTAGATTGTGTTTGCTCTGTATCGTATTTGCTTGCTTGGTTGTTGGCTCAGAGCTTACTTACACACTCGTTAGTCTGCAGGCGCGAGACACGGGTTAGGGCTGCCTAGAATCACCAGGTAGCACTTCCGTTTGTGGTTTTTAAATTATTATTATTATTTTTTTTTGGGTCACACCGGCGATGCTCAGGGGTTACTCCTGGCTTTGCACTCGGGAATTACTCCTGGTGGTGCTCGGGGGACCATATGGGATGCTGGGAATCGAACCCGGGTCTGCCGGGTGCAAGGCAAACGCCCTACCCGCTGTGCTATAGCTCCAGCCCCTAATTTTCTTTTTAGGGAGTGGCAGGGACTGAACCCAGGGCTTTAGTCTGAGCCCCGAGCCTGCACTTGCTGTACCTCTGAACTGTACCCTTGGCCCCTCACTTACCGTCCTTTGAGCCTCTTTGATGCCAAGTACCCGCCCTTGTCCCAACCTTCGAACTATGTCCCTGACTCTGCACTCACTATTTTTTGCTGTTTTTTTTAGGGCTGGAGCGATAGCACAGCGGTAGGGCGTTCGCCTTACAAGCGGCCAACATGGCCGACCCGAGTTCGATTCCTCCGCCCCTCTCGGAGAGCCCGGCAAGCTACCGAGAGTATTCGATATGCCAGACACAGTAACAACAAAGTCTCCAATGGAGACGTTACTGGGCCCGCTCGAGCAAATCGACGATCAACGGGAGGGCCTTTACTTTACTTTACTTTTTAGGGGGGGTCCTGTAAGGTCATACCCAGTGATGCTCAGGGCTGATTCGTGGCTCTGCACTCAGGAATTACTCCTGGCTGGTGCTCAGGGGACCCTATGGGATGCTGGGATCAAACTCGGGTCGGCCGCGTGCAAGGCAACTGCCCTCCTCAATGTACTATCTCTCAGTCCCTGATCTATCTCATTTATGTTTTGGAGGGGGCTAGTGATGCTTAGGACTGACTCTTGGCTCTGCACTTAGGAATCACTCCTGGTGGTGCTCGGGGGACCCTATGGGATGCTGGGAATCCAACCCGGGTCAGCTGCATACAGGGCGAACGCCCTCCAAAATTTTTTAAAGAGAAAAATCGTTTTACAATTGGTGACTTTCAGCCTGAATGCCACCTTTGGAGAGAGTCTGCAGAGAGTTCCGGAAACGAATGCATTAGAGTCAAGAAAGATTCTCTGCACGATTTAATGCTTGGTTCTCCTCGTGTTAACCCAGTCTCAACTGTGACTCACCTGGGCACAGCACGTGACTTCCTGAACCCGAGCTGCAGTGTCACTGCGGACTGAGACTCATGGGACTCTGCAGGCTGACCCTTCAGCCCGGTAACCTCCTTCCTCCTGTTCTCTTCCTCCTAGATGCCCCCAAAGTGACAATGCCCACCAAGACCCCCGGCTACTACCTGCAGCCAGGCCGGATCTCCTGCACCGTGGACAGCCTGCTACCCTTCACCTTGAGCTTCCTCAGGAACGGAGAGACGCTGGGCGTGGACCAGTATCTAAAGTGCGTAAATGTTTCTCTTGGCCGGCTCGAGGCCTCGGTCAGTGACCCCCCGGGTGTGTGTGTTCCCCCAGAGACCCCCCTCCAGACTCCAGGAAAGCACTGAACTCACATGATCTCATGACAAAGGCTGGAATTCTTTCTGGGCCTGGCTCTGGGCTTGATCTCCTTCGAGGGCCTCTCATTGAGACGCAGAAAGGTGGAAGTGACAGTAGCAGAAGTCCAGGGCTTGGGGCGGGCCTGGTGGGCACCGAGTGTCCATTTCAAGAGCAAAGAGCTGGACTGGGACAAGCATACAGGGTGGGGAACGGCGTGAGCTATGTCCAGGACTGGAGCAGACAGGAAACTGAGGAAATAGAGCTACCAGCAGAGGCAGAGCAAGGAGCAGAAGGGGATCAGGGCGGACTCAGGCCCTGGCCCTGACAGTCTAAGTTAGTTCTCTGCCTTCTATTTTTTTATTTTTGAGCGATAGCACAGCGGTAGGGCGTTTGCCTTGCACGCAGCTAGCCTGGCCGAGCTGGGTTCAATTCCTCCACCCCTCAAGGAGAGCCTGGCAAGCTACCCAGAGTATCTCGCCCGCACGGCAAACCCTGGCAAGCTCCCCGTGGTGTCTTTGAGATGCCAAACACAGTCACAACAAGTCTCACAGTGGAGACGTTGCTGGGCCCGCTGGAGCAAATCAGTGAACAACGGGAGGACAATGTTTGACAGTGTTTGTTTTATTTTACAAGGTAGTTCACAATATTTGATGACAGTTAATATTCCAACGCCAATCCCACCACCATGACACCTTCCCGCCACCATATTTGGGATGTTTCCACCCTGAGCCCCAAAAATCCCTGCCCCAACGCACAACCGAAATAATATATTTTGTCTTGTCTGTTATGGAAAATGGCTGAAAATGCTACAAAATGTATCCCTAGAGGAGACAGCGTGAAGATGGTTCTATTTCGGCAGGGGCCGTTAAGACCTTCTTTAGGATATCACTGACGTGTTGTTAAAGGTTGAGTGATGTGAACTTTGGTACATATATCTGAAAATATGTATATATGCATATATATCAGTATCACTGTATCACTTTCATCCTGTTGTTCATCGATTTGCTCAAGCGGGCGCCAGTAACGTCTCCATTTGTCCCAGCCCTGAGATTTTAGCAGCCTCTCCTCACTTACCTTTCCCAATGCTGCCGTATTGGAGGCTCTTTTAGGGTCAGGGGAATGAGGCCCATTATGGTTACTGATTTTGGCATATCGAATACGCCACAGGGAGCTTGCCAGGCTCTGCTGTGATCCCTCGGACTGGAGTGATAGCACAGTGGTAGGGCGTTTGCCTTGCGCACAGTCGGCCCGGCCGAGCCGGGTTCGATTCCTCCGCCCCTCTCGGAGAGCCCTGCAAGCTACCGAGAGTATCTCGCCCGCACGGCAAAGCCTGGCAAACTCTCCGTGACAAACTCGACATGCCAGACACAGTAACAACAAGTCTCATGATGGAGACGTTACTGGGCCCGCTCGAGCAAATCGATGAACAACGGGAGGACCGTGACCCATGATATTTCCCTCTGTGATTGGTTGCCTACTATTTGAACCGATGTGGTGTGGTACTCGTGGAGAATGGGTAGGGAATGTGGTATGACGTGTCGGTCCAGGAATAGGTTCCCTCTTGGGTGAGGCTCAGCCCAAGGGTGTGGGGAGTGGCCGTGAGCCTGGCGGCGGCCATGGCAGGGTCCCTTGGGGTGGGGAGGGCTCGAACCCACCCCCTCTGGGGCACCCCAAGGAAAACAGCCTAGAGCGGGGTCTGGCGGCAAGGTTATAGCGGGTGTCACGTTGCTCCCTTCTGGGAGAAAAAGCTGTGGTATCTCAGCTCTCTGTGTTCTGATGAACACGCAGACACCCAGTCTGTGCTCCCGAAGTCTCAGTCAGACGTGAGCCACCAGGGGTACACGTTGGTGTGTGCAGGTGGAAACGGAGCCCTGGACCCCGCCCCTCGAAGGAGCTTCTGTGCCCCGACAGCTGAGATTCCCACAGACTGGAGACCAAGGTCACGCTCAACCAAAGGATGTCTTGTCTCCCAGAAATTCTCTCCCAGAGAACTCGAAGTTGACTTGAGTCCTCCTTCCTCAGAATCACGCTCTGGGAGAGAGGCTCTTGGCGGGGGAGGGGGAGAAAGCTCTGGGTGACATACTTGGTGGGGCCAGCTTGGGGGTTGTTCTAGCCATGCTCAGGGATTGAGCAGGGGTCGTGGAGCCCACGAGAAGCAAATAAATACTCCAGCCCTTTGTGCCATCTCAGTGGCCCTTCTGGAAAATATATTGGTTTTTGGTGCTTTTTTTTTTAGGTGGGATTTTCTTTTTTTTTGGCCATACCTGCTGGTGCTTGGGCACTACTCCTAACTCAGTGCTCTGGGTTGTCCCCAGTGGTACTGAAGGGACCACGTATAACTAGGAATTGAATCCCGACCCCCTATGTGCAAAGAAAGCTTATACCTGCCCTGTGAACAGCCCTCCCGACTCCTGGAAAAAAATATTTTTTAAAATTTGACATGCACCAAAGTATCTTTTGAAAAACGTTGAATCTATGACAAGGTTTTTATCTTTTTCACTTACTCTGAACTTACTTGGAGAAAACGTCAGACCTTTAATGACCTTATATGACTATGTCTGTCGGACGATGGGAGTCACTGCCAGCATGAATCGAATGCTGGTCAGAATGATTTGGTCGGTCCATTTTTTCCTGTCTAAAGGTCACTCTCTAGGGTTCTATCTATTGTTTTGCTTTTTTGGGGTCACACCCATCGGTGCTCACATGTGACTCCCGGCTCTGCACTCAGGAATCACTCCTGGCAGTGCTTGGGGGACCCTATGGGATGCTGGGGATCGAACCCAGGTCGGCCGCGTGCAAGGCAAATGCCCTATCTGTTGTGCTATTGCCCAGGCCCCCGGTTCATCACTCTTTATTGATTGATCGATTGATTGCTTTTTGGGTCCCACCCGGTGATGCTCAGGGGTTCCTCCTGGCTCTGCACTCAGGAACCACTCCTGGCGATGCTCGGGGGGACCCTATGGGATGCCGGGGATCGAACCTGGGCCGGCCGTGTGCAAGGCAAATGCCCTTCTCACTGTGCTATCACTCTAGCCCCTCTTCCTTCCTTCCTTCCTTCCTTCCTTCCTTCCTTCCTTCCTTCCTTCCTTCCTTCCTTCCTTCCTTCCTTCCTTTCTTTCTTTCTTTCTTTCTTTCTTTCTTTCTTTCTTTCTTTCTTTCTGTATCTTTCTTGTCTTTCTTTTGGGTCCCACCCGGCGATGCCTAGGGCTGACTCCTGGCTCTGCACTCAGGGATCACTCCTGGCGATGCTCGGGGGAACCCTGTGGGATGCCACGGATCGAACCCGGGCTGGCCGTGTGCCAGGCCAGTGCCCTCCCCGCTGTGCTATCGCTCCACTCCCTGAAGTTGTATCTTTTATTTATTTATTCTGGGGGGGGGCTATTTTGATGTTTGACTTCGCTGCGTGTCTGAATACCCGGCGGCCTTACGAACAAGGCGTCCAGCGAGGAGAAAGATTGTAGAACCGGCCGGTGCCGTTCGCTCGTTCTGCTTCCTGTTTCACGGGTGACAGTTTTCAAAGACACTCGCGCGTCTTTCTAAACATGAATTCATTCATTCCGCAGAGTGCCTGGGAGGTAGGCCACAAGAATGTCCGCTTGCATTTTTCTGGCCCCGCGACCCAGAGGCGTGGCCGCCAGCCTTTGTGCTCCCTGGCCGGGCGCCCGGGGATGGGCGAGGCTGTGGACGGATGGATGGCTGTCCTGACTCACGCCTGACACACAGGCTGGATGGAGCCTTTGTGGTGTGCGAGTCTGCCCGTCTCAAGGGACGGGAGAGGGAGTTGGGCCCACGGGCTCCGGCCCCAGATGGCTGCGGGTGCTGATGTTTGTCCAAACGTTTCCTCGCTGCCCTAGAGGGTTGGACCGTCAAGGACGACTGGGATGCAGTCAAGGCACAAATGTTTCGTATTTCATGAGAAGAGGCTCAGGGGCCAGAAAGATAGTACAGTGGTTAGGGCACTTGCCTTATGTGCAGCCAATCTGGGTTCCATCCCCAGCAGCCCACATAGTCCCCCAAACACTGCCAGGAGCGATCCCTGAGCACAGAGCCGGGAGTGAGCCCCGAGCACAGAGCCGGGAGTGAGCCCCGAGCACGGAGCCGGGAGTGAGCCCCGAGCACGGAGCCGGGAGTGAGCCCCGAGCACGGAGCCGGGAGTCAGCCCCGAGCACGGAGCCGGGAGTGAGCCCCGAGCACAGAGCCAGGAGCGATTTCCGAGCACAGAACCGGGAGTGAGCCCCGAGCACAGAGCCAGGAATCAGCCCTGAGCCCTGAGCTGGAAGTCAGCCCTGAGCACAGAGCCGGGAATCAGCCCTGAGCCCTGAGCTGGAAGTCAGCCCTGAGCACAGAGCCGGGAATCAGCCCTGAGCCCAGAGCCAGAAGTCAGCCCTGAGCACAGAGCCGGGAATCAGCCCTGAGCCCTGAGCCGGAAGTCAGCCCTGAGCACAGAGCTGGGAGTCAGCCCTGAGCACTGAACTGGGAGTCAACCCTGAGCACAGAGCTGGGAGTCAGCCTGAGCACCGGTGGGTGTGTCCCAGCTCCCCCCAAATAAAGAAGATCGCCTTCGTGCACTCCGTAATCGGCTTATGTACCTTTGAACCACTGACTTGTCCTTTTTGCTGAAGCTCCACTTTCACACTTTGGTCGATGATCCTCCCTTCCCTTCCTCGGTTGCCCTGGCAATGACTGGGCATTGAACACCCACCTGGGTTTTACAGCTGGGCCTGGAGTTCACGGACAGCCTGGATGGTGTCCAGCACATGTGCTGACACCGGATGTTGGACTCGTGACCTTACGCTTGCGGGTCAGACATTCTAAGGCCCCGAGTCGTTGCTCCTGGACCTCCACCGTATTTGCTTTCATTATTATTATTATTTAAAATTTTAATTAAAAGAGCCATGATTTAGAAAGCTACTGATACTTGAGTTTTCGGCATATATCCAAACTACAGACTATTTACTTTTTATTTATTTATTTACTTACTTTTGCTTTTTGGGTCCCACCCGGCAATGCTCAGGCTGACTCCTGGCTCTGCACTCAGGACTCACTCCTGGTGGTGCTCAGGTGGGGGGGGACCTTATGGGATGCCGGGAATCAAACCCGGGTTGGCCGCGTGCCAGGCAGACGCCCTCCCCGCTGTGCTATCGCTCCGACCTGGTGCTGTAATTTCTTTCTCCACTCACCTGTTCTCGGGCACTCGGGCTGTTTCCCGCCTTGGGCTGCTTTGAGCAAGGCTGCAAGGAACACAGGAGAGTAGACGGTGTTCAGGGCCTTGGCATACATGCCAATAAGCAGAGTTGCTGGTTCCTAAGGGAAATCGACTACTACTTTGTTTTATTTTTTTTCTTTTTGCTTTTTGGGTCCCACCCAGCGATGCTCAGGGCTGACTCCTGGCTCTGCACTCAGGGATCACGCCTGGTGGTGCTCAGGGGATCCAATGGGATGCCGGAGATTGAACCCAGGTCGGTTAGACCAATGCCCTCCCTGCTGTGCTATTGCTCCAGCCTCCTTCCTTCCTTCCTTCCTTTCTTCCTTCCTTTTTCTTTCTTTCCTCCCTCCCTTCCTTCCTTCCTTCCTTCCTTCCACCCTCCCTTCCTCCTTCCTTCCTTCCTTTCTTTCTTCCTTTCTTTCTTTCCCTCTTTTTTTTTTTTTTTTTGCTTTTTGAGTCCCACCTGGCGATGCTCAGGGCTGACTCCTGGCTCTGCACTCAGGGATCATTCCTGGCAGTGCTCCGGGGACTCTAGGGGATGCTGGGGATTGAACCCGGGTTGGCCACGTGCCAGGCCAACACCCTCCCCGCTGGGCTATCGCTCCAGCCCCTGAATTCCTAGTGTTTTGAAGAGTATCCAGATTGACTTCCAAAACCCGCTGGACAGTCCTGCCAGCAGGGAACGAGGGTCCCTCCTCCCGGCCGCCATCCACACCCTCATTTTATGTTTCAAACAAGCGACTGGGCCAGAGCGATAGTGAATGAGCTGAGATCAGACTTTGCAAATGCCAGAGACCCGGTCTGATCTCCAGGCCTGATTGGGTCCCCAGAGCACCACTAGGCGTGACTCCAGAGCACAGAGCCAGGACACCATCGGGCGTGGCCCCCGTCACAGGCACTGGGGGGAGACCTGTCACTTTCTGTGCTAAAGTTGCCAGTCTTCAGATCTGACTGGTCCTGAGAGTGGGGCTGTGAACCGGCGTGGCAGCCGTCGACACTTAACGTTGCTGTGCCCTCGGCAGGCGGGAGATGGGGAGCAGGCACGGTGGTATCAAGGCGTCCTCCTCCAGATAGCCGACTGTTCCCTGCTACTCACCCACCAAACATCAACCCGCTTTATTTTCCTGATCTCCACCCAGGGGTGCTTGGAGGACCTTGTGGTGCCGGGGATCGTATGCATGGACTTTCGTGCACACGCCAGGCCGCTGAACCCCGTGTCTTGGAGCCTGAGAAGGGCTCAGGAGAAGGTCTCTGCCGTCGTTCGATGCTGGCGTGTGGGGGTCTGGAAGGACTGGACTCAGGCTGCTCTCTGGCCACTGCATGTGTTTTGTGTCGCAGCTTTCTGGGCTGTGTGAAAAGGTTCTGAGGAAGGATAGCGATCAAGAAAATAATGAAACGACATGTCTTTAAAACAAGGGCCGGGCGTTGGCCTGGCACGCGGCCGACCCGGGTTCGATCCCCGGCATCCCCTAGGGTCCCCCGAGCACCGCCAGGAGTGATTCCTGAGTGCAGAGCCGGGAGTCAGCCCTGAACATCGCCAGGTGGGACCCAAAAATCAATCAATCAAGAGTGATGAACCAGGGACCTGGGGAGGGTGTGGGCCTGGCACGCGGCCGACCCGGGTTTGATCCCCGGCATCCCATGGGTCCCCCGAGCACCGCCCGGAGTGATTCCTGAGTGCAGAGCCGGGAGTCAGCCCTGAGCATCGCCAGGTGGGACCTCCCCCCCAAAGCAACAACAACAACAACAACAAAATCTACAACCTACACACCTGGGCTCAGCCTACTCACCTTCTCTCCAGTTGCCGGGCGTTGAGTGGCCCAGACATCCCCCATCATCGCTGCCGTGGCTGACAGGCGTCTTGTTTCCTCCCTCTCTAGGGAAGCCGCCACGCTGAGCTGGGACATCGCCGAGGTCACCCTGGCGGATGAAGGCCCCTACGAGTGCGTGGCCGTGAGTTCCGCAGGCACCGGGCGGGCGCAGACCTTTTTCGACGTCTCAGGTAGATTTTCCAGAATCTTCTCCCCGCTGTGTCCAACCAGGCCCTGCCGACTGAGGAAGAAGCCCAGAGTGCCTCAGTTTCCCTCGGTGACGGTGAACGGCCACGTACAAAGTAGTGTGGGGGGTGGCAGAGGGAATGTCTCACCAGGAGGTGGGTGCGAGCCAGTTTCCATCGAGTTCTCCAAAGAGAGTTTGGCAGCTAGAGATTTGGTCCAGTTTCCTAAGTCAAAACATTCCCTGGGGGGGGGACATTTGTCCTCTTCCATATCACTTCAAGTCTCCTGACGGGCCTGAGCGCCTGACCCCAGTGGGAAAGTGGAGGCTAATCCCCACCCACCCCACACTGGGGTCCAAGCCCTTTGTTTTTGTTTTGTTTTGTTTCTTTGCTTTTTGGGTCCCACCCGGTGATGCTCAGGGCTGACTCCCGGCCCATGCACTCATTGAATCACTCCTGGCGGTGCTCGGGGGACCCTATGGGGTGCTGGGGATCGAACCCGGGTTGGCTGGGTGCAAGGCCAACGCCCTCCTTGCTGTGCTATTGCCCAGGTCCCTGGTTCATCACTCGATTGATTGATTGATTGATTGATTGCTTTTTGGGTCCCACCCGGTGATGCTCAGGGCTGACTCCTGGCTCTGCACTCAGGAATCACTCCTGGCAGTGCTCGGGGGACCTTAGGGGATGCCGAGGATCGAACCCAGGTCGGCCACGTGCAAGGCGAACACCCTCCCCGCGGTGCTATTGCTCCAGCCCCAGGGCCAAGCCCTTTGTACGCTGCATTCTCCAGCCCTCCTTTCAAGCACAAAATGCAGATTTTTGAAATTACAGAAGAAAAACCAGGAACCGCAGAAGTGCCTTCCTTTGGCTGCAAGGCAAATTGCACTCGAGCCGTGTGCCCACTCCTGCGATGCCCAGACCCTTCTTGACTCCGAGGTTTGGGTGGGAGGAGTCTGAAGGCTATAAATGCAAACAGGTCTCAGAAGCATCTTTGTGTTCTCTTTTTTTCACTCTGATTTTTATTGAGCTACTGCAATTCACAGTGATGTTAATGACCCTTTTGTGCACACACTGTTCCAACACCACACCCACCACCAGATGCACCCGTTTTCAATTAGCAGAAATTCCAAAGGAAGCATCTTTAGGGGAGACATAGAAACGGTTTTAGTTGCATATATTTAAAATAAGCTAAATCAGGGCTGGAGTGATAGCCCAGTGGGGAGGGCTTTTGCCTTGCACACGGCGGACCCGGGTTTGATTCCCAGCATCCCATAGGGTCCCTCGAGCATCGCCAGGAGTGATTCCTGAGTGAAGAGCCAGGAGTCAGCCCTGAGCATCGCTGGGTGGGACCCAAAAAACAAAACAAAAAAAAAAAAGCTGAATCAGTGGCTAATACCCTCCTACCCTTAGAAGCATCTTTGAACTGGGCGATCTTTTTCTTGGTGCCAGGAAAATTCGGAGTTACGGGTTCTGATGCGCTTTCCTCTGCTCAGGGGACCCTATGGGATGTTGGGAATCGAACCCGGGTCGGTCGCGTGCCAGGCCAACACCCTCCCCGCTGTGCTGTTGCTCCAGCCCTTTATTTTATTCTTTTAAACACAAATGTCCCAAGTGTCTGCTCACTTCACGACTTGGTGCCAGTTGTGCTGTGAAGTTATTTATTTGTTTAGACTTTTTGACTTTGGTGGGGTCCCACCCGGCAATACTCAGGGCTGACTCCTGGCTCTGCACTCAGGAATCGCTCCTGGCGGTGCTCGAGGGACCCTCTGGGATGCCAGGGATGGAGCTCGGGTCAAATACGTGTTTCTCCGCCAGTCCTTCTGGGCTGGCCGACCCAGTCTCCTGCAAACAAATGGCAGGTGCAGAGAATCCTGGCTGGCAGCAGGACACCGCCTTGTTGTGTTGCCCTAGCCTGACCCGTCCTCTGCCACATGGACCTTGGGGTCCAGCTCTGGGAGGAGCACCGGGCTCCGTCCCCGGGGGCAGGTGGAGTGTCCAGCGTCCCCTGATGCCTCCCTCCTCTCCCGCAGAGCCCCCACCGCTGATCCAGGCCCCCAGCAATGTGACGGTAGCCCCAGGGCACAGAACGCTCCTGACGTGCGTGGTGCTCAGCGCGGTGGAATACAACCTCACCTGGCAGAGGAACCAGCAGGACGCCCAGCTGGTGGATCCTTCCAGAATCCGCGTCCTGGCCAACCTCTCCCTGGAGCTGCGGAACGTGAAGCCGGCCGACGGGGGACGGTTCGAGTGTGTGGCGGCCAGCGAAGGGGGCTTGGCCACGGCCTCCGTGTTCCTCACCGTGGAAGGTAGCTGCCGCGCCTATCTCCGCGTCTCGGGGGGCTGCGTCTTCCAGACGTTGGTTCTGAGGGTGGGGCAGTGTAAGGTACTGCATCTGTCTTCACATCTTGGGGGGCTCCATCTTCCTCCTGGCCTTGGCTCTGGGGGTGGACATTTGGTCACTCACATCTCCCAGAGTTGAGCGTGAGGTGCTGGAGACCCAAGCATCCCTAATCTCTTGCAGACTTGGAAAACAAACAAACAAAAACCCGGGGCTGGAGCGAGAGCACAGCGGAGAGGGCGTTGGCCTTGCACTTGGCCAACCTGGGTTCAATCCCCGGCATCCCATAGGATCCCCCAAGCACTGCCAGGACTGATTCCTGAGTGCAGAGCCGGGAGTCAGCCCTGAGCATCACTGGGTGGAACCCAAAAAGAAAAAATTAAAATAAAATAAAAAGAATAAATTAAACAGGACTGGAGCAATAACACAGCAGGGAAGGCGTTGGCCTTGCACGCAGCTGACATGGGTTCGAGTCCCGGCATCCCATAGGGTCCCTCGAGCACCGCCAAGAGTGATTCCTGAGTGCAGAGCCAGGAGTCAGCCCTGAGCACGGCTGGGTGATCCCAAACCCAGATAACTGGAATAAATAAAATAGAATACTTCTCCAATTAAATCATGTCAATTAAAAACAATTCTACTGGGTTTAATACTGATTTTCCGACTGAATGTTGATATGTTGGCAAAGAGAACGTTGACTAAGTGGTTTATTTATTTTTGCTCTTTTGGGTCCCACCCGGCGATGCTCAGGGCTGACTCCTGGCTCTGCACTCAGGAATCACTCCTGGCGGTGCTCGGGGGACCGTACGGGATGCCGGGGATCGAACCCGGGTCGGCCGCGTGCCGGGCCAATGCCCTCCCCACTGTGCTATCACTCCAGCCCCAATTCCGAGTTTCTTTGAGGAATGTCCATCGTTTTCCCAGTTAACATTCCCGCCAGGAGTGAATGAGGATCCTTTTTTTTCCTGCATCCGCACCAGCCCTGGTTGTTCTTGTTTTCCCCGAGTGCCCGTTTCTGATATGAGGGGACATCTCGTCGTTTCAGTTTGCGTTTCCCTAATGTCTAGTGTTTGACGTCAAGCAGTTTTTCCCGTGCCTTTTGGCCATTTGTATTTCTCCTTTGAGGAAGTTTCTGCCCTTCTCTTCTTCCCACCTTTTGGTGAGGAACAGAAAACTCTTTTATCATCTTGGTAGGAAACAGAAAAATAACTGATTCTATCGCTTCATTCTCGAGTTGATTCTATATGAACTAATTAACTCAGAATGAACGAATCAGGCAAGCGATCAGTGGATCCAGTGAGAGTTGAACTAAGACACTTGTAATACTTCTCCTTGGGGGAGCGTCACAGAATTTAGAGGCACCAGAAGCAAATGACCAGGGGACCTTTCTGCACGTGACCCCTCCTCTGCTTTCTCCCCAGTACTGGGCTTCAGAAACTCTGCTTCTTCTTTTTTTAAGATTTTATTTATTTATGTATTTTGCTTTTTTGGGTCACACCCGGCGATGCTCAGGGCTGACTCCTGGCTCTGCACTCAGGAATCACTCCTGGCGGTGCTCAGGGGACCCTATGCGATGCCGGGGATCGAACCCGGGTCGGCCACGTGCAAGGCAAACACCCTCCCTGCTGTAGTATCTCTCAGACCCTGATCTATCTCAAATATATTTTGGAGGGAGCTAGCATTGCTCAGGGCTGACTCCTGGCTCTGCACTCAGAAATCACTCCTGACGGTGCTCGGGGGACCCTGTGGGATGCCGGCAATCAAACCCAGGTCGGCCATGTGCAAGGCCAACACCCTCCCCGCTGGACTATGGCTTTGGTCCCTGTTTATCGATTTAATCTGCTGCGTTGGCATCTCCAGGGGAAAGTGTAACTTCTCCTGTCCTGCCCCATTTCCTTGCTGGCTCAGGGGGAGGGACGTCAGGGTGGACAGTGGGTAGGGGGAGAGAATGAAGAACTTGAGAAGTGTGTGTGTGTGTGTGTGTGTGTGTGTGTGTGTGTGTGTGTGTGTGGCTTTTTGGGTCCCACCTGGCAGTGTCAGGGCTGATTCCTGGCTCTGCACTCAGGGATCACTCCTGGCGGTGCTTGGGGGACCCTATGGGATGCTGGGTATTGAACCCGAGTTGGCGGCATGCAAGGCAAGCGCCCTCCCTGCTGAGCTGTTGGTCCAGCCCCAAGAAACTCTGCTTCTTACAAATTCTCTTTCTGAATAAAACAACCAGCACTGTTTTTTGTTTTGTTTTTTTGTTTTTTTGTTTGAATTTGCCATCAAGAACCTTAACAAACACAATGAAGGGAAAAGATAAAGGTAATTTTGAAAGAAATGATTCCGATCCAGAAATTTAAGATCCAGGGGTTGGAAAGATAGCACAGTGGGTAGGGTGTTTGCCTTGCACTCGGCCAACCCGGGTTCGATTCCCAGCATCCCATATGGTCCCTTGAGCACCGCCAGGAGTAACTCCTGAGTGCAGAGCCAGGAGGAACCCCTGTGCATCGCCGGGTGTGACCCAAAAAAAGCAAAAAAAAAAAAAAGAATTTAAGATCCACTGAAAGAGTCTGTGAAAAGCCAGCAGAAACCTTTCCTGAATATTTAAGATTCTGAGAAAGAGCAAAGAAGCTTTTTTTTTTTGTACAAAAAAAGTCTCAAAAGCGCTAGTTTAACTCCCAGAGAACGATGTGAGGAAGGAAACCAGCTCTGGAGTGGTGGTGGATGAAGCCAGAGCTTCTGAAGTGGCTTCCCCCCATCTTGTGACCCCGTTTTACCCGAGAAATGCACCCCCCACCCGGGCGAGTCGGCCAGAAACCGCCTCTCCCCAGCGACTTGCTGAAGTTTAAATTCAAGTTCGGCCATTCCACATTCCTAAGGCCATTTGGCCGCATATTTTCGTGGCCAAACTTTTCCTGACCCCGACGTTCCGCTGCACGACCCCGTGAGGGGTCCTGACCTGGGGTTGCCGTTTAAGCGATGGTTGTCAAACTCTCGAAGATCCTAGCCAGAAGGAGTCCACATGGCAGGGCCTGAGGTCTGTGGGTTGCCTCCCGGGAGAGAGCCCCAGTGTCTGGGCCAGGCTGACCGCTCATGTCCTACGGGGCCTCGCCCAGCCCACAGATAAGGGGGCGATGGGAGGCAGGAAGTTCCTCCAACAAGGCATTCCCAGAACCAGAGTCTGCCACACACACTGTCGCACTGTCCTCCCATTGTTCATCGATTTGCTCAAGCAGGCCCAGTCACATCTCCATGGTGAGACTTGTTGTGACTGTGTTTGGCATCTCCAGTATGCCACGGGGAGCTTGCCAGGCTCTGCCGTGCGGGTGGGATACTCTCGGTAGCTTGCCAGGCTCTCCGAGAGGGATGAGGAATCGAACCCGGGTCAGCTGTGTGCAAGGCAAACACCCTACCCGCTGTGCTATCGCTCCAGTCCCTGCTACAGACAAGTAAATAAAACCAAAGCTTCCCTCAGCCCCAGGTCGGAGGGAAAATCCTGGATTGAATCAATGAGAAATGGAAATCTGAGTTGTCTTTTTCTTTTTTTTTAAATAATATTTTATTTTCATAAGTCGTTCACAATAGTTCAGCAACAGATAATATTCAAACATCCTTCCCACCACCATAGGAGGGAAGTTTGTGAAGGTTGTTGTGTGTTTTTGTATTTAATTCTGGAGCCATTTAAGTCCGAATTTAAGAGAATACAAGCAAGTATGTTAAAAACCAAACAAGTGTGTGCTACTTTTGGGAAGTAAGTGGGCTAGAGTATAAGAGGTTCAGGACATTCTGCGTCGTTCTCTTCTGGGAGCTTTAATTCCTAGTCTCTGCATCTTGGCCGTTGATGAGGTTTCATGGCGCCGGGGGCAGTTTGTGGGTGTGACTGCCAAGCTACTGAAAACCTGGGAATCTGGGGGGAGGAGGCCCAGTCCCGATCCGAGCAGGCCTGGAGATCTCAGTCACGGGTTCCCGCATACCTGGGTTTTTCTGCCAGTTCCCTCTTGAGTGAGGCTTCTCCCCTCTTGGGAAAGGTCATCTGAGCTTGTGGAGAGCGGCCTTGCGCATGGCAGTCGTTGGGTTCTGGAGATTTTCGGCTGCCGGGGTTCTGCTTGGGGCAGGGAGGGAAACTCAACCCACCCCCCTCTGTGGGGCCCCGGTGAAGACAGCCTGGCGCGGGGTCAGAACGTTCTGCCTGAATTGTCTTTTTCATTGATGCTTTTCTGAACCTGGTAAAAAACACGTGTGGCAGGAATGGGTCTTTCAAACTTAGTCGAGGTGGGGCTGGAGAGATAGTACAGTGGGGAGGGGGTTTGCCTCGCATGTGCTGACCTGGATTTGAGCACCAGGATTCCGTAGGATGCCCCAGCGCTTAAAGGAGGGATTGATCCCGGAATGCAGAGCCAGGAGTCACCCCTGAGCACCTCTGGGTGTGGCTGCAAGACCCCAAAAAAATGTATAAAACTTAGTAGAAGGGCTGGAGTGATAGCACAGCGGGGTGGGCATCTGCCTGGCACATGGTCAACCCGGGTTCGATTCCCAGCATCCCGTAGGGTCGGTCCCTCAAGCACCACCCGGAGTGATTCCTGAGTGCAGAGCCAGGAGGAACCCCTGAGCATCACCGAGTGTGAACCCAAAACAACAACAACAACAAAAAACTTAGGAGAAATAGGATTTCAGTGTTTTCAGAAAATGCTTATGTTAATTTCGCCCAGAGATTAATTATGCATGGGGAATATTTTATTTTATTTTTTGTTAAATGAGAAAAATTATTTCATGGTGATTTACCAAGTGCATAGAACAGTTGTTTCAGGAACGAAATGTTCCAATTCCAACCTCATCCTCCCTCCTCCAATTCCCCAAGTTTCCCACCCACCACCCCAGCCTGGCCCGTGCAGGCACAAACAGATGGACTCCATACTGCCTGTTACCACACAGAGGCGGATGGAATGGTCAACGCGGGGATCAATCCGAGTCCACTTGTGTCACTGT